TGATCTGCTGGATTCCTCTCTTCCAGAGCTTCAGTTTGGTATGTAGATCGTCGTCTGGGTACACAGGGTTTGGGAGATACGTCGCTTTGAAGTCGCTGCAGGGATTAGGGTTTCTGCAGCCGCCTAGAGAGAGGGAGAGAGCTACGGATTTTTAGCTTAGGTTAGGGCTCGTGCTGATAACGTGTTAAAGAATAAAGAAAAAGGTTGTAACTCTGTATATCTTATTCATCACGTGCACATACATATATATACATACAAGAGAATAAGCATATTCCTTAGGAGATAAGGATTACAATAAATAAGGGGATGATTATCCTAATCCTATAATGATTAGGATAACTACAACATATGGATAAATACAAGGGAGGATAATGACAAGTCTTGGCCGCCTGGTATGGATAAGGATAAGGTGCTTGTCGCCTGGTCTTGGACTGAAGTGAGACTGATGTGGTCTGGTCCATTTCCGGATATGTCCCAACCATCATTTCTCAACAAAAAAGAGGAAAAGAGAGGTCGCTGAAGTAGGGTTACAACTCCTTGTCCATTGGGGTCTCTATCGTCAACACCTGTCGGCCTTCTCACTTAAACACGCTCTTTACTCTCTTCTCACACCTCTCCCCTCTCTCTCCATTTAATCAAATATTCTTTCTCTTCATTAACACACAAACCCAACTCCATAACAGGACAAAAGCAATCTTCAATCAAATACTCTGTTCTTTTCCTTTCTTCCTGTAATAGAAAAAGGAGAAACCTTTCCTCTCACCTGCAGTTACCAGAAGAAGCAACAACCACACTTTCTCTTTCTCTCTCTAATTTACAGCCTTCACTACAAACGGTCACTTTACTTATTAGAGCGAAACAGAGAGAAACAGAGAGAGAGAAACAGAGTAGATTCATAGATGGAGTTTGAATCGTTTCTTGTGTCCTTAGGGACATCAGCAATTATCTTCATCGTTCTCATGCTCCTCTTCACCTGGCTCTCTCGTAGACCCGGTAACGTTTCGGTTTATTACCCGAACCGGATCCTTAAAGGTATGGATCCATGGGAAGGCAGCTCCTTGACCCGTAACCCATTTGCTTGGATCCGTGAAGCTTTCACTTCCACCGAACAAGACGTTGTTAAGTTATCCGGCGTTGATACCGCCGTCTACTTCGTCTTCTTGAGCACTGGTTCGCTTCTCCTCTCTCTTTCCTGATCTGGGTTTCTAATTTTACATAATAAAGTTTCCACCTTTGAGGATTTTTGTTTGTTTATTGTTGTCTCTGACACTATCTTGTTTGCTGTGTTATACCCTATCTCTGTTTTACTTTGTCCTTATCTGACCTTTTGAGTTTGTGTCTTTTTTTAGAACAATTGAGTTTTGGTTTTTTTTTTAGAACAATTGTGTTTTGGTCTTTAAAGATCATAACTTGTAGACATTTGAGATTGAAATTAGAGCCGGTAGACACATGTCTTGCCTTGATAGCTTCTATATATGATGAGCCTGTGAAGCTGGTGAAGACAACTTCTTTTGGATATGTTCTGTGTATAATAATATAACATGATAAAGTGTTCCTGATGGGTTTTTTTTTTTTTTGAAACAGTTTTGGGGATATTTGCTTTATCAGCTCTTCTTCTCTTACCGATTCTACTCCCTATAGCCGCTACAGACAACAACTTAAAGACCTCAAGGAAACTCGCTGACACCACAAGTAATGGAACCTTTAGCCAACTTGATAATCTCTCTATGGCTAACGTCACTGTAAGTATTAAAACACACACATACTTCCTTCTTTTTTTTCATCATTCTTGAGCTAAAATGTTAATTCTTTCTGTTTTAACAGACAAAGAGTTCAAGGTTATGGGCGTTCCTAGGAGCTGTTTACTGGGTATCCGTAGTCACATATTTCATGTTATGGAAAGCTTATAAACATGTGGCTGCATTGAGAGCTGAAGCACTGATGTCTAGTGAAGAAGTATTACCTGAGCAGTTCGCTATTCTTGTTAGGGACATACCTTCTCCACCTAACGGGGAGACACAGAAAGAGTTTGTGGATTCTTACTTCAGAGATATCTACCCAGAGACATTCTACAGATCACTTGTTGTAACAGAAAACAGCAAGGTATATATCTACTTGTTCTGTCTTTTAAAGTTTCAATCTATTTTTGTTAGATGGCTCATGTTTTAGAGGTGTTTTGTAGATTAATAAGATATGGGAAAACCTGGAAGGTTACAAGAAGAAGCTTGCGCGTGCAGAAGCAGTGTTTGCAGCCACTAGTAACCGACCAACGAACAAGACTGGCTTGCTTGGGCTGTTTGGAGAGCAAGTAGACAGCATTGAGTATTACACAAAGCTAATCAACGAGTCAGTAACCAAACTAGAAGCAGAGCAGAGAACTGTTCTTGCTGAGAAGCAACAAACAGCAGCTGTTGTGTTCTTCACAGACCGAGTCACTGCTGCTTTAGCTGCTCAGTCTCTACACTGCCAAATGGTTGATAAATGGACAGTGACTGAAGCTCCTGAGCCTCGCCAGCTCATCTGGGAGAATCTCAAGATCAAGTTCTTCAGTAGAATAGTCAGACAATACTTGATCTACTTCCTTGTTGCGATAACCATATTGTTCTACATGATCCCTATTACGTTTGTCTCTGCAATCACCACTCTTGAGAATCTCCAGAAGACTCTTCCCTTCTTAAAACCGATTGTGGAGATAGGTTTCATAAGAACCGTCTTGGAGTCTTACCTTCCTCAGATTGCACTCATCATCTTCTTGGCTATGTTGCCTAAGTTCCTCATGTTCCTCTCCAAGTCTGAGGGGATTCCTTCGCAGAGCCATACTATTAGAGCTGCCTCCGGGAAGTACTTTTACTTCTCGGTCTTGAATGTCTTCATTGGTGTAACCCTTGCAGGGTCTCTGTTCGATAATTTGAAGGCTCTTGAGAAGAAACCAAACTCTATTGTTACCGTTTTGGCTACTAGTCTCCCTAAGAACGCTACTTTCTTCCTGACCTACGTTGCTCTCAAGTGAGTTTTCCTTCCTTCTCTTGACTTGTATAACATCTACACGAGCGAGCACTTATGTTTCTTTGAACTTTCAGGTTCTTTGTTGGTTATGGCCTGGAGCTGTCTAGGATCATACCTTTGATAATATTCCATTTGAAAAGGAAGTATCTATGCAAAACTGAAGCAGAAGTCAAAGAAGCTTGGTACCCAGGAGACTTAAGCTACGCGACTAGGGTTCCCAGCGACATGCTCATCCTCACAATCACCTTCTGCTACTCTGTAATCGCTCCTCTAATCCTCGTATTCGGTGTCATCTACTTCGGTTTAGGGTGGCTCATCCTGAGGAATCAGGTCAGACTTTCTCTCCCTAGTTATATACTCTTAGGTTTAAGCATGTTTTCATGTGATCTTGATCTAGCTTCTACGTGTTATGACAGGCTCTGAAAGTGTATGTTCCATCTTACGAGAGCTACGGAAGGATGTGGCCACATATTCACACTCGCATACTAGCGGCATTGTTTCTGTTCCAACTGGTTATGTTTGGTTACTTGGGAGTCAAGCTATTCATTTGGGCGCCTCTCTTGATTCCTCTCATCTTCATATCTCTCATATTCGGCTACGTGTGCCGTCAGAAATTCTACTCAGGGTTCGAACACACGGCTCTAGAGGTGGCTTGCCGTGAGCTGAAGCAGAGACCGGACCTCGAGGAGGTTTTCAGAGCGTACATTCCGCATAGCTTGAGCACTCACAAAGGAGATGATCACAAGTTTAAAGGAGCCATGTCTCGTTATCAAGACTACGCTGCAATATCAGCTGCTTAAGATTTGAATCCTTATCTTTAATTGTCTCGCAGATTTGTTTTGTTTGTGTTTTTAGAATTATTGTGTGTGTGATATTAGGGTCTGTTTAGGATTTTTCGTTTTTATGTGTTCTTTGGTTGTTGTAACTTGTAACCATGTAAGCTACGTTTTATTTATCAGTTTAATCAGTCTTTGTTCAGATGTTAAATGTTTTCATTGTTTAAGTTAGTTTCACCTGTTTGTGTTACATTGTTACTTGTATTGTTGATCGTGTAACTATCTAACACCTTACGGCTTAGTTGATTGAGAAACATATAACGAGGACAATGATCCAAGAAAGTGCAACATTTTCCTCAAAACCCTGTTTCTGCATTTTAACAGTGAAAAAAAACTTAAAAAATAAAAAGAAAGAAGAAGAAACATTTCTTAAACAATATCATACACATGAGTTGTAGTCATAGTTGTTCTGTTTTGGTTATCTTCTCTCTGTTAGCGTTTATCATTGACGTATAAATGGGCCTCAAATGGGAAGCCCAAAACAAACACTCACAAGAATAAATGGCCCACAAATGAAGCCTAAACAAGAAAAGCTTCAGACACAAAATCTGCGGTGTGAGAAGACACAACAGCCTTATCCAGAGTTCAAACTACTGCGCCAATAGCCACTCGCCGCGTCAGCAAAGAGTAGCTAAAACAGAATCCATTTCTGTGATGGACAAAGGCATAGGATGATCCTTAGCTATATCATTTTAAAAGACAATATAAGAAGAGAAAAACTGGTGAAATCAAAAAATAAGAAAACCAGATTGCACTAGAAAAACAAAAGAATTTTCACGTAAGAGTCGAAGAAAATGGCGAGCACTATGATGACTACACTGCCTCAGTTCAATGGTCTTCGAGCTAGCAAGATCTCTGCAGCTCCAGTTCAAGGCCTGGTTAGTAATTTTTCATTTTTCTTTAAAAATTGTGATTTGATCTTCTATACACTTCCAAGCATAAACATATATATAGAAAATTTAGGGGTTCAATTTTGTCCTTGATTGATATATGTTTAATTGATCATATCTGACAAGAGACTTTGTAATATCGTATGAAGTTGTGTTTTTTACATCACAACGATAATTTTAGTTAAAGTCACATTTGTTTTTAATGCTCTCAGGCAACTGTTGTGCCCATGAGACGCAAGGGAAATGGAGCTTTGGGTGCAAAGTGTGACTTCATTGGTTCATCAACAAATCTGGTAACTAAAACAAATATGATATACAAACGTTAATTTAAGTATAAGCAATAATAGATTATACTCTCTAATTAGATAATGGTAACGTCGACGACTCTGATGCTGTTTGCTGGGAGATTCGGACTAGCACCATCAGCCAATAGGAAGGCGACAGCTGGACTCAAGTTAGAGGCACGTGACTCGGGTCTACAAACGGGTGACCCAGCCGGGTTCACTCTCGCTGACACTTTGGCTTGTGGTACCGTTGGTCATATCATCGGCGTTGGAGTTGTCCTTGGTCTTAAAAACATTGGTGCTATTTAAGATACTTGTTCAGTTGTATTTCTAAAATTTTAAAAACAAAATTCTCAAGAACCTGAGGGGAGAACTAGTTAATGTTTGTATCTTGCATTGTATTCCTCTTCAAAACAATTAGAACGACTGCATCTTGAAGTATGTGAACCAAAAGCATTATGTTCCCTTGATAGGAAACGCCACTAGCTAGGTTTTAGAAGTTTTAGGTAAAGCTTACATTAAAATTATGATTACTCTGTTCAAAGTGGATACAAGTTTGCTTCTAATCTCGGCAAGAACCTGAGCAATTCTATTTCCTCTGGAAAAGAAACTTTAATTGGGTCTTAAGTTACTGAAGATCAAAACAGTTACTTATAAAATCAGCTGATTGGCCAGGTCTGGCAAAGTTAAAGAGAACCTTATGTATATTTGCAGTGGTGATAGTATTTAATAGATCCCATGAGTCATAACTCATAAGTAAGACCCAGGCCTTCTACATTAATGCATTAGGATATTTATAACAAAGTTCATGTTGCAATCGTGTAACAATTAGAATCATCTTTTCATTTATGTTATACGAAACTGATCAAGTCAATTACAAAGAATCAACATGTGACCAGCTTCAATACATTTTTTGCTAATTGAACAAAATGACTTGTTTCTTTAGTCGGCCAACAACAGTTTGGTCACTGAAACTTCATGTAACTCAAATTCAATAACTATCATACTTCTCACCAGAAACCCCATTTGATTTATCCCACAGATCTTTGAGCTTATTAAATCTTATGCGGTAGTATAGTGGGATGGGATGATGATGCAGTGGGCGGTTCATCGAATTAGACATGAACTATACTCTATACGGGTAAAAATGATATATGAATATCTTCTTTTGTAAAGTATTTTCTTTGCTTATTGTGTGAATCTTGATACTAATTATGTGGTTACTCTAGGCGAATCTTGTTTGTAGGCATATATTACAATCTAAAACCAATACAAATACGCAAAATAAAAATAAAAATTGGAAAATGGTAGCTAGTAGTTTAGTAGTACGAGATAGGCTCAAGTAAAATAACTGAAATTTTCCTTGGGGAAAAGACTGTGTATTCGACCCATGTAATTAGAGTATTGAGCGAGTATCAATGAGTACGATTTCATAGTATCATTTTCTTTAGTTTAATTAGTTAAAAAATGCATGTGCAGACATCTGGACTCAAACTCGAATCTAGATTGAGGCGTTTCTAAAATCTTAAAGAGGAATCAAAACCTTTGGTCAGTATGTGATAATTTTGTAACTGATACGACTAGAACAGAATACATACCTGAAATTTGAACCCAAAAAATAAGTCAACTATCAAAATGTAGAAAATAACAAAATTTCTCTGATCAGCAGAGAGCATTAAAATAGAATACATGAATTGCCAGAAAGAAAAATTGTAGAAGTTAAAAAGAAACTTTGTGGTTTCTCTGAGAAATTTTACTTAGTGTCCAAAATTTGTAGTTAAAGGATTCTTCTGTCATTTACTGTTATCTTCTTAAATGAACCAATGCTCTAAAAGAGGGTTTGAAACTGAAACCACATAACACATAACATGAAAAGTATAATTCGCATTAGTACGTTACTAGGAAGCTGATATTGTCTTGCCATAGTTTGAAAATTAAAGATTATTTGGTATTTCATTTCCTATGTAAAATGAAAAATATCCCAACATGATCATCCACCACGGTGGACTTGGGCAAACCACGGTGGTTTATTAGTACAGTCAGTCAGTGTGGCGAAAGCACCTTGTAGATGATCCTTTTTATTTGTATATTCAGTAAAATCTGTGAGTAACAAAAAAGAAATGCAGTAAAATCTGTGAACTTTGAGGCTTCAGTTATTTACAAGATGACCAGGAGGGGCGAAGCTACATTAGGATATGTGGTGGCACGTGCACCTATAAATATATTGATAGAAAAGTTTTACAGCTGAGATTGAAAGTTTAGTGTCTTAGATGGTAAAAGTCAGGATGGTAAAAATCAGGCTATGCACCATAATATCTTCAGTTCAAATTTCTTTCTTGCATATTTATTTTTCCATAACCAATTATGCACCCAGTAAATAATTTCTTTAGCTTCACCCCTAAGGATGAGTATACTTTATCATATACAAATTAATTTCACATATACGAAAATTTAATTGAATTTGATTATTTTATAAACTTTAAACGAAATGATAATTTAATGTAGAACATGAATTCAATTATGAGTTAATTGGCCGATACACCCCAAATGGGGGTGTATATTAGTCACTTGCCCATGATGGGACATAATTATTTTGTCTGACCAAATTGCCCTTCTTTCTCTCTCTCCTTCCTTCATGCATTTACATGTGGGTGTGTCACTTTTTTTTTTCATTTCTCTCCTCTTATCATTTTCAAAATGAATTACATGCAAAATAAATATGTTAAATATTTTTGAGTTCACTTTGATTCTTAAATAATAGTTAATACATAACACCTCTATTAAAAATATATAATTTTTAATGTGTTGGTTGTTAACAAATATTGTAGACGTTAGAGAAGTACCGATATTTGGTGTTGATATTAGAGAAGTACATACAATTAAATTTTAAATTTCATTATTTTTTCCATAAGTGGCTTTGAATCCTCCATTTTTTGATGATATCAATTTTCTGGGTTTTAGATTCGACGTCGTGTTAGCGGTTAACAAATATTGTAGACGTTAACAGAAGTGTTAGCTGTTAACAATTATTTTTACGCTTCGCGTTGTTAAATATGTTCGCTGTTAACAAATATTGTAGACGTTAACAAAAGTGTTAAATGTTAACAATTCTTTTTACGCTTCGCGGTAATAAATGTGTTGGCTGTTAACAAATATTGTAGACGTTAACAGAAGTGTTATATGTTAACAAATGTTTTTATGCTTCGTGTTAATGAGAGGAAAGAGAAAGGGTATTCTCGGCATTTCCTTGCCAAATGGTTGTGTCAGTGTCCTTTATGTCCAATCAATGGTATTTTGCTAATTTGAGCTTCAAATAGGGGTAGTTCACTAAATCACTCTTCAATTATCCACAAAATACAAAATAAAATTAAAATTGTTGACATGAAACTAATAAAAAGAAGAGTGATTTAGCTCAATATATCAAAAGAATAAGGAATTTACGGATTTGCCATATTTAAGGGGAAAAATTAGTGATGTGAGGAAGGAAAGAGAAAAAAAAATAGGATATGAAGTTAAATAAAATGTTTTGTGTGTGTATGAAGTGCAAATATTCTAAAAAGAATTACATGTAGTCACCGCATCGCATGTGAGATGTGATCAACATTTCCTGCCGACTAACTTGGCCAAAAGTATGTGACTATATTAAATTGCAAGTAGTAGTAGTAGTGGTTAACTGCATGCATCGATAATACGTTGTTCTAATACCGTTTGTTTTTCTGTGACAAAAAAAATCGTTTGTTTAGTAGTAGTTGTTTGTTTAGCAGTAGTTAGGGGTGGATACGAATTACATAATACCATAATTTTCAGCGTATTTTAAGGATATATGATTTTTCAATTTGTTTTGTTTCAAAAAAATATGAATAATATTCATAAACTTTTTTTAGATATTTACGAATATTTAAAAATAATTCATGTACTCTGTTTAATACAAATAAATTAAAATAAATAATGTCATCACAAGTTCTCCATTATAATCGTGATACAATAAGTTTGTGGTTATAACAGTCATTTATAGTAATTTAAGAGTCTTCATCTTATCATCTAATTATTCTATCAGAAATTGGTGGGAATACCCCTAAATATACCTCATATTTGCTATATACCTTTCAAAATAAAAACTATTTGTTCTGACCATTATACCCTTATCTCACTCTCTCTCTCTTCTCTTCCTTGTCTTCTAACTATTTATCTCTCACACATGTCATATTTATGCTTTCATTTTTCATCATAAATCTCTATTTTTTACTCTGATTCTTTTGACACCCATATTGCTAATATTATTATCTCACATTGATTCTATTATTTTCAATTTCAAATCTTGAAATGTTCATTCTTTTATTTAGATAATATGTAAGTTAACAACTATTTCATTATTTACCCGTTATTATTATATTTTAATGAATTTGTAACTGATACATAAAGTGTTAGCGGTTACAAATAGGTTTACGGCTATTTGATAGATAATTGATTAGCGGTTAATATATGTATTTTTATGATACTAGTATTGTTAACACGCTAACTTATTTTGTTAGCAATATGTTTAACACGTTAATAAATAGACGTAACCCGATAACAAAATTTGTACCATGTTAAAATTTTGTTAATTTGCTAACAATTTTTATATCATGGTAAAAATATGTTAACTTGCTAACAAATTTTGTATAATGAAGTAAGGATAATTTTATCCATTCAAGTCATAAAAACTATCATGTTTTGTCTTTATGTCATATCATGGATAGTCTACTAATTATGGTCCCAAATGAGGATATTGGACAAAATCACTCTTATTCTATCTACTGCTCTCTTTATAAAACGTACTAAATGAGATGTACATGTAAAGTGATATTTGAACATTTATTTCGACCCACAAAACATAATCAGGTCTGACAATATCACTTGGTTACACTACTGCAACTATGTACTTACCAGTTACAATGTTAAGGTAAAGCCTTAATAAATGACAAGTGGCGTTTTCATCTATGTATTATTTAATATTTTTTATAAATTAATAATATTGAAATTACACCAAAATTATAATATTTTATTATTTTATATAAATTATTAATTTATTAATATATTAATTAAATTAAAAATTAAATTTAAAATTATAAAATTATATAATTTTATAATTTTTTAATATATATTAATTTATAAATATTAATTTAGAGAGATTATATTGTAGTTACAATTGCCATGAAATATTGAAATAGAATCATCCATATTTGCTGTAATAAAAAAAAGAGATCATATTTATTTAATTAATTAATTAAATTTAATTTAGTTAATTTACCCGATTTGTTACTTTAAAAATAAAAATAAAATAGTAGAAAAGGTAGATTGACTGATTGTTTTTTTTGTGACTAAAAGATTGATTGACTGAGAATGATTAATATGAAAATCTTTTTTGACTGTCCATATATAAAAATATGAATATTCATAGCAAGTTGTGAGCACTGACGCATCGTTTTGCTCCCTTAAAAATCTCAACATCTTGAGTTTATAAGATTACGTTTATTACGTCTTCCTCCAAATACCCAGCAAACCCTGTTGTCCTCCCTCGTGTCTTTGACTATCGAGGTTTCGTTTTTTTCCTTTTCTCTGCGTTTAACTATAATCTTCTTCAGTGCTTGTTACCAGACTCCTGCTTAATGCTCTTCTTTAATATCATTGGTACAGCCACATAGAAAGTAGTTCTGCTCTTTTTTATGGGGTTAGCGACTTTAAGGTTATCATCTTCTATTTGATGATGTCTTGTTTCTTATCTTACGTTTGAGAATTTATTTTTTTTGTAAGTGGAAAACTTTATGGTGACCGTCTCTGTTTTCCCTTTTTGTGATGATGATTCAGAGGAGGGGATAAAAAGTCTGCCTCCACTAAAATGATTAAAAAAAAACTTTTCCTTTTTTCTTGGCTAATATTTGATAAACAATTTATCATCCACATCTTTTTGTTTTGTTTTTTATGTTTCTTCAAATGAGTATACAATCACATGTTTAAAGTCCACTTTATCAACTGTCAACATCACTCTGTTTCTTTGATTTTTCTTGCAGATTTTTTTAGGAGGTTGTTAGTAACTTGTCATGTGTACTACTACTATCTTAGTTTGATACAACTTTGGAAGCAGAAGAAGGGTATCTTTTTAGGAAGAAGATATGGGTTTTGAGCTTTTGGATTGGTACTGTAAGCCTGTGCCTAATGGTGTGTGGTCAAAAATGGTTGATTATGCGTTTGGTGCATACACGCCTTGTGCTATTGACTCTTTTGTTCTTGGCACCTCTCATCTGGTGCTGTTGATTCTGTGTCTTTACCGTATTTGGCTCACTGCAAAGGACCACAAAGTGGATAAGTTCTGCTTGAGGTCTAAATGGTATAACTATTTGCTGGCTCTGTTGGCTGCTTATAGTACTGCTGAGCCTTTGTTTAGATTGGTCATGAGGATCTCTATCTTGGATTTGGATGGAGCTGGCTTTCCTCCCTATGAGGTGTGTCATCATCACTTGCTTTTCTTTTTCTTTTTGCTGTGTGTTTTGTCTGAAAGATGTTGCTGCTGTTTTGTGCTTCTTTTGGCAGGCGTTCATGTTGGCCCTTGAAGCTTTTGCTTGGGGTTCTGCTTTGGTTATGACTGTGTTTGAAACTAAAACATATATCCATGAACTTCGTTGGTATGTCAGATTTTCTGTTATTTATGCTCTTGTGGGAGACATGGTGTTGTTAAATCTTGTTCTCTCAGTCAAGGAGTACTATGGCAGGTTGGTTATATGGTCTATGCAAGTTCAATGCCTTGGTCTTGCAGGATGAACTTATGTGCTTAATATTTATTGCTTTTTTGTGCAGTTTCACACTGTATCTTTACACAAGTGAGGTGGCAGTTCAGGTTTGCACATTAAGACTCCTTTTTTGGATTCTCCATACTTCTCTTTACCATATGTTGTGTATCTAAATAAGATTGCAAATGAAGCAGTTGTCTCTTGATAATCCAGGTTGCATTTGGAGCTCTCTTGTTTGTATATTTCCCTAACTTGGATCCATGCCCTGGTTACACACCATTGCGGAATGAAACCTCAGAGGATTACGAGTATGAAGAGCTTCCTGGAGGGGAACAAATATGTCCTGAGAGGCATGCAAACTTATTTGACAGTAGGTCACTTCACCTACTTCTCATTTCCATCTTGTGGATTTGGCTATGTTTATTCTTTTCTCTTTTTATTGTGAGAATCAACGCAACATCTCTGATCTCTGCTCTGTACTTACTACCTATCTGAGCTGGTATTTTTCTAGAGCTTCGCATCTGTGAATTTCTTTTGTACTGTAAATAATACTTAAAGAACCGGCCAATAACATTGTTTCCACATTTAACATAAGAGTTGTTGTTTGATAGTCTCCTCAATTTGTTTTTCACATATCCTCTAGTTCTCCCTAGTAATGAACGATTGTGACTGTAAGACCAACTCTTTTGCTTAAAGGTTCATCACTTTGACCTGCAGCATTTTGTTACAATAGCATTTGAGTATTAAGTGTACCTTCTTACCAATATCTTTTTTTTCCCCACAGGAATCTTCTTCTCATGGTTGAATCCGTTGATGACTCTGGGATCAAAACGTCCTCTTACGGAAAAGGATGTGTGGCATCTGGACACTTGGGATCGTACTGAAACTCTCATTGGGAGGTACTTTCTTAATCTTTGATAAATAACAACTGTTCTCCTACTGTCTTGACTGTTGTGGTTATATTCTTATCTCCTTTTTTAGCTTCCAGAGGTCCTGGGAAAAGGAGCTAGAAAAGCCCAAACCGTGGCTCTTGAGAGCACTGAACAACAGCCTTGGAGGAAGGTAAAGGAGAAACATCTTTGTAGCATCTCTTAGGAATATGCATTTATTTATTTATTCGTCCTTATGGGCCGTGTCTTATGAAAACCTGCTTCTGCCTCTTGTAGGTTTTGGTTTGGTGGGTTCTGGAAGGTAATTTTTGTTTATTTGATAATATTGGTGGCTTCAGAGGTCTTATATTTCCCTAAATGGTGTGTTTTGATCTAAATTGTATCACAGATTGGGAATGACTGTTCACAATTCGTGGGGCCTCTTCTACTGAATGAGCTCTTAAAGGTATGTTTCTTTCTCTCTATTTTTATATTCCAGTGAATGCCTTGTAATCCATTCACATGGGTTGCTGAGATGGATCTTTATTCATCTAGCCAAAATTAGTGTTTACATTCTTGGTAGATTAAAAAAAATCCTAATCATCCTTTGCATATACGATATCTCACATTGTGGTCTTAAAACTTTCTGCAGTCAATGCAACTTAATGAACCAGCATGGATAGGTTACATCTATGCAATCTCAATCTTTGTTGGAGTGGTATGCAACATATTCCTTTTCCCCTCTGCATATTTTAAGTTTTTAACCTCCTGCATGGATTTCAGAGGATATATCTGTAGCATTCTCAATCTTTGTTAGAGTGAAATGAAACAGAGTCTCTTGTTTTCTTGATCTCTCCTCTCTTTCAAGCTTTTCTATTTCAACCTGCGGTTAATCTTTGTCTTGTTCGAGTGTATTAACCTGATGCTAATCTTGGAGTTTGTTGTCTTTGTATATTTATTACTTTTGTGTTAAATAGTTTAGGATAAGACTTTAACCAAGGGATTCCTTGAGTTGCTTGATATTGATGTTGACATTTTCAGATATTGGGGGTTCTATGTGAAGCTCAATATTTCCAAAATGTGATGCGTGTTGGTTACCGTCTAAGGTCTGCACTGGTAAGCGAAGTTTCAAGTTATATTTCTTTTGCTACTTTGTTTTCTTTGTTCTGCTTCTCTTAACTTCGATGCAAAACCTGTGCTTCTATGTTTGCTGAAAGCTATAGCAGATTCTTTTATAATGTTTCCTTCTGCTAATGTTTTTCCTCCCTTGATAGATTGCTGCTGTGTTCCGAAAGTCGCTGAGGCTAACTAATGAAGGCAGGAAGAAGTTTCAAACAGGAAAAATAACAAACTTAATGACCACTGATGCTGAGTCACTTCAGGTTATACATTTTCTTACCTTTTACCTCTTTAACTTTGTCTGTTTCTTGATATTAATTTTGTAATTGATAAATATGAGTCTAAAATGCAATTTATGAAGGCCATCTTTTTCTGAAGTTTCTCCTGTTTGTGACAGCAAATTTGCCAATCACTTCATACCATGTGGTCAGCGCCATTTCGTATTATTGTGGCACTGGTTCTCCTCTATCAACAATTAGGTGTTGCCTCGCTCATTGGCGCAGTGTTTCTGGTCCTTATGTTCCCTATACAGGTCCATAAATCTTTTTACTCCTCATCTGTATTCTAATATTCTTTGCTTCTCTCTCCCCAAGTGTCTTTCAGTTCAATGACAATAATTCGCTTTCTTTATTTTTGTTGAAACAGACTGTTATTATAAGCAAAACACAGAAGTTAACAAAAGAAGGGTTGCAGCGTACTGACAAAAGAATTGGCCTAATGAATGAGATTTTAGCTGCAATGGATACAGTGAAGTAAGATACTTTGAAAAACCGAAACCTGATCTTCATTTTTTTTTGCATTGTTGGAAGTTTTGAGGCAATGCTTGACTTACTAAACCAAATGAATGTAGGTGCTATGCTTGGGAAAACAGTTTTCAGTCTAAGGTGCAAACTGTTCGTGATGATGAACTCTCTTGGTTCCGAAAAGCACAACTTCTCTCAGCGGTATGCCTCTTAACTGCAGTGACTGTTATATTTCAATTTCCTCTTTTTTTCTTGGTACATTTCTGACTAATTCTTGGTCTTCCATTTTGTTCTGCAGTTCAATATGTTCATACTAAACAGCATTCCCGTTCTCGTAACTGTTGTTTCATTTGGTGTCTTCTCATTGCTTGGAGGAGATCTCACACCTGCAAGAGCCTTTACAGCCCTTTCGCTATTCTCTGTGCTTCGCTTCCCTTTATTCATGCTTCCAAACATTATAACTCAGGTTATTTCCTTGAATGTTTCTTGCATCATGTTTTCATTACTGGTTTTGATTAACGTGACATCATTTTTGTTGTACACTTTGTAGGTAGTAAATGCTAATGTATCCTTAAAACGTTTGGAGGAGGTATTATCAACAGAAGAGAGAGTTCTCTTACCAAATCCACCCATTGAACCTGGACAGCCAGCTATCTCAATAAGAAACGGATGCTTCTCATGGGATTCAAAGGTCTCATTTGTTAACTTGATCCCATGTTCCTTTCTACTTTTAACTTCAGAAATACACAAAGTGAGCCACCAATATACATATGCAGGCGGATACACCAACCTTGTCAAATATCAACTTGGATGTACCTATTGGGAGCCTAGTTGCAGTAGTCGGCAGTACAGGAGAAGGAAAAACCTCACTGATATCTGCTATGCTTGGAGAACTTCCAGCTTTATCTGATGCCACAGTTACTCTTAGAGGATCAGTTGCTTATGTTCCGCAAGTTTCATGGATCTTTAACGCAACAGTAGGTTCTTATATGCTTCTGTTTCTATAGTATAGTGATTAGTTTCACCAGTATTTAATCTTAAGCTATTCTGAGCTGATGAATGGTAATTTAAATTGTGTAGGTACGTGACAATATATTGTTTGGTGCTCCTTTTGACAAAGAAAAATATGAAAGGGTGATTGATGTGACTGCACTGAGGCATGATCTTGAGTTACTGCCTGTAAGTTTCTTAAAGGGAAAACGGTTCTTTTGGTATCATGGAATTCTCTTTTCTAGTTCTCAGGTATCTAAGTTTGTTTCCTCTTTTTTTTTCGCTTGATTGTTAGGGTGGTGATCTCACGGAGATTGGAGAAAGAGGTGTTAACATAAGTGGGGGACAAAAGCAGAGGGTTTCTATGGCTAGAGCCGTCTACTCAAATTCAGATGTGTGCATATTAGATGACCCATTAAGTGCCCTTGATGCGCATGTTGGTCAACAGGTAAACTAGCTATTAGGATACTCTGCTTCTTGTTTGCCACATATCTCTTCCTTATAACTGCTTTTGAGCAAACATTGTTATCTGATCTTTGAAATTGTTTGTTATAGGTTTTTGAGAAATGCATAAAAAGAGAACTAGGGAACAAAACAAGAGTTCTTGTTACAAACCAGCTCCACTTCCTATCACAAGTGGATAAAATTCTACTTGTTCATGAGGGAACAGTGAAAGAGGAAGGAACGTACGAAGAGCTTTCCCATAGTGGCCCATTATTCAAGAGGTTAATGGAAAATGCTGGCAAAGTTGAAGAATATTCGGAAGTAAATGGAGAAGCTGAAGCAGAAGATCAAACGTCTGTAAAACCAGTTGAGAATGGCAACACTAATAATCTGCAGAAAGATGGAGTGGAGACAAAGAAGTCCAAAGAAGGAACCTCTGTGCTCGTTAAGAGAGAAGAACGTGAAACTGGAGTTGTGAGCTGGAAAGTCCTGAAGAGGTAAGTTCTTTTTGTGTTGTTGAAGGTCATTGTAATGGTTATTGAGGTGTTAATACCATGTTCCAGGTACCGGGATGCACTTGGAGGTGCATGGGTGGTGATGATGCTCCTTATATGCTACGTCTTGACTCAGATATTTAGAGTGTCAAGCAGCACTTGGTTGAGTGAGTGGACTGATGCAGGAACTCCAAAGAGTCATGGACCTCTCTTCTACAATATTATCTATGCGGTTCTTTCCTTTGGACAGGTATGCGTTCCATTTGGTAAATGATTGAGTCCTTAACAATGTATCACTGAACCTTAAAGGCCAATATTCAAAGAATAGCTAGTTGGTGGTTAGCCGCCTTATAGAGGATTAATGTTTAGGCGGGCGCGCACCTAAACCAATTTTTTTGAACGCTTAGACCGGTTTTTTAAACCGCTTTTTAAATATTGTGGTTTGAAAAATAGTTTCGTGCTTCTTAGACCGATTCTTAGAACACTATATACACAAACCGCTAAGAATGAATGTAACCATGTTTGCTAAGACTTATTTTTTTTTTCTTGGTTTCAGGTCTTTGTGACGTTGACCAATTCATATTGGTTAATAATGGTCAGTCTCTATGCAGCTAAAAAGATGCATGATGCTATGCTTGGTTCCATACTAAGAGCTCCAATGGTCTTTTTCCAAACCAACCCACTAGGAAGGATAATCAATCGATTTGCAAAAGATACGGGTGATATTGATCGAACCGTGGCAGTCTTTGTCAACATGTTTATGGGTTCAATCGCACAGCTTCTTTCAACTGTTATCTTAATTGGCATTGTCAGCACACTGTCCTTGTGGGCCATCATGCCTCTCTTGGTCGTGTTTTATGGAGCTTATCTCTATTACCAGGTATTAACATACCACCTTTTAAAACTCAATACTGATTAGCAATGTTCAAAAAATCACTAGGCACTAGTTAGACGCTTTATATGAGATTATTGATTAGACGAACGCCTAAACTGATTTCTCGAGCATCTAGACCGACTTTTTAAAATATCATTCTAGAACATTTTGTTTAGGTCTAATTTTACGAATAAACGCTATCTACATTGAAATCTCTATAAATTAATAATGTTGGAGCTACACCAAAACTATATTTTTTATTAATTTGTAAAGATTATTAATTTATAGAGATTATTAATTTATCGATATACTAATTAAACCAAAAACTCAATTTATGACTATAAAATTATATTATTTTATAGAGATTTTTAGTCTATATTAATTTATAGAGTAATATTTTTAAAGAGGTTATACTGTAAACCGATTTTTAGAATACTAGTGATTAGTGTTGTGTACTAAACCATTATTTCCCTTAATTGTAGAACACATCTCGTGAAATTAAACGTATGGATTCAGTTTCAAGATCACCCGTTTATGCACAATTTGGAGAAGCATTGAATGGTCTATCAAGCATCCGTGCTTACAAAGCATACGACCGTATGGCTGAGATAAACGGAAGATCAATGGACAATAACATCAGATTCACGCTTGTCAACATGGGAGCAAACCGTTGGCTAGGAATCCGTTTGGAAGTTCTTGGAGGTCTCATGGTTTGGTTAACCGCTTCGTTAGCCGTCATGCAGAACGGTAAAGCAGAGAACCAACAAGCGTTTGCATCTACAATGGGTTTGCTACTCAGCTACGCTTTGAGTATCACAAGCTCCTTAACAGCTGTGTTGAGACTCGCGAGTTTAGCTGAGAACAGTTTGAACTCTGTTGAGCGTGTTGGAAACTATATTGAGTTACCATCAGAGGCTCCTTTGGTTGTTGAAAGCAACCGTCCACCTCCTGGATGGCCATCATCTGGCTCTATTAAATTTGAAGATGTTGTGCTTCGTTACCGTCCTGAGTTGCCTCCTGTGCTTCATGGTGTTTCGTTTTTTATTTCTCCGATGGATAAAGTGGGGATTGTTGGAAGGACGGGAGCTGGGAAGTCAAGTCTCTTGAATGCGTTGTTTCGGATTGTGGAGGTGGAGAAGGGAAGGATCTTGATCGATGAATGTGATATTGGGAAGTTTGGTTTGATGGATTTGCGTAAAGTGCTTGGAATTATACCTCAAGCTCCTGTGCTTTTCTCAGGTATGTGACGTCTCACATTGATTCTAGTACTTGTTTTGTTCTCATGAGTGGATGACTGATGTGTCTTTTTTGTTTATCTAAGGTACTGTGAGATTCAATCTTGACCCGTTTAGTGAACATAATGATGCTGATCTTTGGGAGTCTCTTGAGAGGGCACACTTGAAAGATACTATCCGCAGAAACCCTTTTGGTCTTGATGCTGAGGTACTTAATTTAACATTTTTCTCTAGTCTCTTGTAGGCATGACACATTTATCCGGAACCAAAGAATCGAACCGAACATAATTCGCAAAAAAATGCATAAATTATGTATCTTTGGAACCGTAACCGAACCGAACATAATTTCGCAAATAAATGCATAGATTATGTATCTTTGGAACCGTAGCCGAACTAAAAACCGAACATGTACTCAAGTTTTAAAAATGCATATTATATACTTAAATATCAATTATAAAAAATGCATATTATATACCTAAAATTATCAATTACATTTAGTTTCCAAATAAGTTAATATTTTAAAAATACTATTTATAAACCGAATTAACCAAAAATCCGAATTATCCAAATATCCTTTTACTGAAATATTTAAAATTATCTAAATGACCCAATATTTCTATCCAAATTAAGCTATATTTACCTAAAAACGAATTATCCAGTGTTTTATCCATATTATCTAAATTTACCTGATAAAAAAAAAAAAGAATCGAATTGGATCCATTTTTTCCGGATATTAGCATGTTCCTGACTTTGCTACATGAACCAAAACCAAACCAAAAGGTTCACAAATCTCTAAAACCGAAAAAAAAAACCAAAAACCAAAAAACCTCAAGTCTCTTGTTTTTCATTAGAGTAACTCGAAGTGTTTTTGGTCAGGTATCTGAGGCAGGAGAGAACTTCAGTGTTGGACAAAGACAATTGTTGAGTCTTGCACGTGCACTGTTACGAAGATCTAAGATACTTGTCCTCGATGAAGCAACTGCTGCTGTTGATGTAAGAACCGATGTTCTCATCCAAAAGACCATCCGAGAAGAGTTCAAGTCATGCACAATGCTTATCATCGCTCATCGTCTCAACACCATCATCGACTGTGACAAAGTTCTCGTTCTTGATTCGGGAAAAGTATCAGAGTTCAATTCACCAGAGAATCTTCTTTCAAACGGAGAAAGTTCATTCTCAAAGATGGTTCAAAGCACAGGAGCTGCAAATGCTGAGTACTTGCGTAGTATAGTTCTTGAAAACAAACGGAACAGAGATGCTAACGGTGATGGTGATGATTCATCACAATCTTTAGTAGAAGGTCAGAGGAAGTGGCGAGCTTCTTCTCGTTGGGCTGCAGCTGCTCAGTTTGCTTTGGCTGTGAGCCTCACTTCATCTCACAACGACCTACAAAGCCTTGAGATCGAAGATGATGACAGTGTTTTGAAGAGAACGAAAGACGCTGTAGTTACTCTACGCAGTGTTCTTGAAGGGAAACATGATAAAGAGATTGAAGAGTCTCTTGTCCAAAATGATATCTCTAGAGAGCGTTGGTGGCCGTCTCTTTACAAAATGATTGAAGGTAGGGTTGGTTGTGTGAGATCTCTCTCTATGCTATTAGATGTAGAAATGTTTGAAGTTTATTGATTTAAAGATTATGTGTGTGTATACACTTTCAGGGCTTGCGGTGATGAGTAGATTGGCGAAGAACAGAATGCAACATTCGGATTACAATTTAGAGGGGAGAACGTTTGACTGGGACAACGTTGAGATGTAGAGGAAAGAAATGCTTTACATTACTTGACCTAAAGGTTTCATTTCATAAACTTGTCTTTTCTTGTAATACACGGAACAAAATGTCCATTTGAATGCAATTATCATGTACACAAGGCAAAAAAGAACAATTTAATTTAGTTAAGTTTCTAAGATCTACAGTACATAACTTTCTGTAAGGTTTTATGGTTTTGGGCTTCATATATATTTCCTAGAAAACAAAGCCAAATATCAATTTGGAGATGACAGGTGGAAGCTTGGTTGCCAATTTAGGTAGTATAGGAGAAGGTAAGTCATCACTTGTTTGTTTTGGTAAAATGTTGGGAGAGTTATCTCATGCTGAATCCTAACGAACTTACAAGAAACTATGTTAAAAAGAAATTTAAAGTTTTGGAATACGATAGTCCACAAGAATTGCTAGTGCTTTCTTTAAGATGGGGTCTTTATTGTTTCATTCAAATTAACAATCACAAATCCGTTGTAGTCTAGCTGGTTAGGATACTCGGCTCTCACCCGAGAGACCCGGGTTCGAGTCCCGGCAACGGAGTCTTTTTGCTATCACGTGGCTAAAGCTTACTTCATTTGTTAGTTTTTACTTCTTTTTTGGCTCCTCGCTTAGCTAAAATTAAAGTATTTGACGTAAAAAGCGTGACGCTTGCGACAGCCGAGGCGTGTTGTGAGTTTTGTTTCCCATGTGTGCCTTAAAGGACTTTCACGCCTTTGTTTAAAAGGCAAGCAAACGTATGCAACACATGAAACATCTATTAATGATTCTGTTCGGACTTTGTAAATTGTTTCTTTTTCACACCTTTTTGTTAGTAGAACGCGAGGTCAAATATCATCATGCAGTTTACATTTACATTCATAACAAAGTTAACACGTAATGCCTTCTCTTTTTTTTTTTTATAGAACTATATATAAGTGATTTTTTCCTTGGTACATATGACGTGTGTTACTGTGTATAACGTAGAGGTAACTTAGGCTTCGAATGGTAAAAGCAGATCAAACGGTGCAGATCAAGCGGTTCATGCAGATCAAGCAGGACAAGTGCAGATAAAGCAGGACAAGTGCAGATCAAGCGGATCAAGCAGGAGAGATGCAGATCAAACAATTTATCATAAATTATGAATGACAAAATAAGTTTAAAACTAAGATCATATATTAAAAGAATAAAATTATACCAAATATCAATATAAATATTTAAATGTTGTAGGATCAGCCTAAATGTTTATTGGATTTTTCATAAGATGCTTGTAGCGTTTTAGTTGATCAAAATTATTTTTGAATAACAGACATCTTAATATTTAATTCTTTGTTAATATTTATATATAAAAATGGAGATAAAACAGATTAAATAATTTATTATAAATTATAAATGACAAAATATGTTCACAGTATATATCATATATTAAAATAATAAAAATTACACCAAATATCAAAACAAAATATTTCAGATGTTGTATGTTCAGCCAAAATGTCTGTAAAAATTTTATTAGATGCTTATACTTCTTCTATTTATTAATTATTTTAAAATATAAAATAATTATTTTTTTGCTGACACTTATGTTGAAAAATTTATATTTTTCGTGGAAAATATTGTGTTTTTTGGCGATTAGACATCATGCTTATAACTTTAAAATGATACAAATAATATTAATGTGTACTATATAGTTTGAGTTAATAATTGTACATTATTTATAAAATCAAATAAATATATTTTAAAGTTAAGTGTTTGTAATAAAACTATTTATTAGTAAAAGGAAAAAAAAAGGCAGATCAACACCACCAAATGTTAGTGGATGGGATCTGCATGCAGATCTCCTACTTTTTCTACTAAAAGACAAAAAAATTGAACTGCATGCAGATCTCCCGCTTGAACTGCTTTTACAAATAGAAAATGGTGAATGGTAAACATAAGGCAGGAGAACTGCCTATTGCAGGAGAACTGCTTGATCTGCCTTTGTCCTGCCCCTCCCATTCATAACCTTAGTCATGGTAACTATAGCTTTTCATTGAATTAAAAAACTTGGGGTTGACTTGTGTGTGTTGGGATGTGTGTAGAGCAACAAAAGCAGAGACATAAACGCATGTAAAAGCAAAATGAGCTTTTTGGTGAGGACAAGGAGCATAAAGACATGAAAAACAAAGCAAAATTTGAGATCTCAAGAATCCTAAGAAATTTGCATGCATATTTTTCTTAACCTTTCATCTCTTCTTAATTATTTTGTACGCATACACAAGTGTATATGCTCTGGCAAAATAAACTTATACAGCATTTTAAATAAATTTTTTTTTAATTATAGATACATATATAAAAAAAGACTGGGTGATAATGGTTTGAAGGATATAAATATACTTTGTTAAAAGAATCTTGTGAATTGTTGGCCAAAGAAAATGAATATTTAGGTTATGTGATGAGTGTAGGAAAGACAAAAGCAGATGGACGACAATAACTTATGAGATAACAAGTAACAACTCTCTGATTGGTGATATATACTTTTGATTAATCTGACTTTTTTTTTGTCACAAATCTGACTCTTTTACTTTTATTTATTTATTAGAAAAGCAATGGAAAACACCATGATATATTGGGAAACAACATGTTTATATCTCCTACTAAAACATGCTATGTGTAGTATATTTAATTGAAATTTACTGCTTGTTATTTTCAAATGAGTTACTTATATCTCCTACTTTTGTTTTTGTGGTACACAATCAATGATCTGTGAAACGTAAGAACCATTAAACTCTTTGCTTGGTCCACCAAATTCTCAATGGTTATAGGATCAACGATTCTAAACATAGAACACTAAACAACCCTATAAAACAAACAAATAATTCCATTTCCTTTCAATTCATACTTTGTTACTCATAAAATACAGAACCAAAAAAATTTGGAAAAACCAAAAGAGAAAAAAAATATAGAATAATGGCAAGAGTTCATCTATTGTTATGCTTCACACTTCTATTTGTATCTGTAAACCTTTTGAATGAAGCTTCAGCTTCTTTGAAGCTGAAGCCATCTTTACCTAAGATTGAAGATCCAAAAACGTTGGGTGAAGTGGAAGGCTACACTGTTCAAGTAGTGACAATATTTGTTGCGGACCTCGAGAAAGAATGTCCTAAAACAAGCAAATTCAAAACGTTCTTTGACAAACTAAGAGGATTTGCCAAGTTTCTTTGCCCACTAAATTTATTTCGCAAAAAAGATGATGCCGAAGTGAAGGAGAAAGAAGATGGCATTCTCAAAACCATTGCCTCTTTTGCTGTTGGAAGGGTAAGTGAAAGAGATTATCATAATTAATGCATTTCTGACATTTTATAATTTTTCATACGCTCAAATAAAAATGTGTTTTTATTTTTATATAAGTTTTTCATAATATCTTACATACAAATTATCGCTTAAAATCAAGATGCTCTAAGTGATCGATCCGAGGCTAATAAACAATTTTTTATTTACTTCATGCATGTGTATAATAGATAAAGAGCGAAATTCAAGAGGAGAAAGAGGAAGCTATCGAAACCTTTAAGTTTTTGAAAACTTTGGGTGGTAAAATTTTGGGTGGCCGCAAGAAAGAAGAGAAGGAAGCACTAACACCTGAACAATTGAAAGAAATCAAAGATGGGATCTTAAAATGGCAGACTGTGATTACTAAGATCACAAACACTATGGTAACAACTACAACAACAACAACCAACGAAGGCGCTGATAGTACTGCCACCGCCACTGGAGACTCTTCAAGTCCTAACTCCGGAGGCGCAACTGGAAGTCCATCAAACAAACCATCAGCTGGTTCAAACCCTGGAGCTGGAACTCCCTCTAAGGATACAAACAAGCCATCAGCTGGCTCAAACCCTGGAGCTGGATCTCCCTCTGAGGATACAGAGGAGCCATCAGCTGGTTCAAACCCTGGAGCTGGAGCTGGAACTGGAAATCCCTCTAAGGATACAGACAAGCCATCAGCTGGTTCAAACCCTGGAGCTGGAGCTGGAGCTGGAACTCCCTCTAAGGATACAGACGAGCCATCAGCTGGTTCAAACCCTGGAGCTGGAACTGGAACTCCCTCTAAGGGTACAAACAATCAATCAAATTCTGCTTCAAGTGGAACTGAAAGTACTACTACTAGCCAGACCAAAGAGGTGACAGTGACAGAAGTCGAGACTCAGACTTCTGAACAAGTTATGACATTCTTAATGAACCTAGAGAAGAAGTGTCCACCAAAAGACGAATACAAGCAATTCTTCGAGCAACTAAAGAGTACCATGACAGGTTCCGCAAAAGTTTCTTCTCCAAAGAGAAAAGGACTATTCGGTAGGATTAAAGGTGCTGTTGGCAAAATAGGTGATACCATGAAATTTATTCGTTCAAGAATTACAGGCAAATCAGCAGAAGTACGTTACAATAAATACATATTTCATTTATTTAGAATATTAACAACCAAACATTTTATATAAATAAAATATATGTGTGTGTTATTTTTTCGTGGTAATATCGACAGGCAAAGAAGTCGATGGAAACTTTCCAAACAGAAATAATAAAGTCTATGGAGGAGCTAAATGCAATCCACGCTAAAATTGTAGCCCAAAATCAAAGCAAGAAAGGAGGAGCAATGACATGCACACCAGAACAACAAGCAGAGATTAAAACGACAATCACTAAGTGGGAACAAGTCACAACGCAATTCGTTGAGGTTGCTATTAAGAGTGAAAGTTCTACAACTTCTTCTACTGAAACATCTTCTACGGGAAAGGCACAGGCACAGGCAAACTGAACTTAAAGATGACAAAACTAGTAACCAATAGCTATTAATTACATTTTTTTATTTTGAATAAAACACCATTGGTGTAGGCCAGCAAATAATCAATAACTATGTAAACGTATATATAGAAACTGTAAGCATTCTACATGCTAAGATTTTGAAATGAAATTTTGTGATATTTTTGTTCTATTTCTAAATGAAATTAGCCACAAGGCCCACAATACAGTATTTAATTTACTTTTGTGATCTTTAACAATATATTAAGTTCTATATATCCCTACTTATGAAGCATATGTATGGAATTTGAATAGTACTCTCCCTATTGGTTGCCACGTAAGAATTTCATTAGAATTCTTTAGATTCATAATTACCACACATGGTTTATTCGTGAGTCAGTGCATGGCTAGAAAGCCCGGACAAAACTTCAAAATTTCAAATGAAAAATCTTATTTTTTTTGTTAACTTAAAATCGTCGTCAGGGTACAGTTTAAAGCATGAGATAATCATTGGTTATAATTTATTAAAGTCGTTTAATGGAGAGTTGAGAAATTCAAAACTTAAAACCAACGATATATGCTGGAGAGAAGTCAACTAATCTTCACGTGGCCATGTCAACATGCTGGTTATGGCTATGTCAACATTGAGCCAAAACAAATTTCGTCGGACAACGAAGCTTCAGCCACATGCTTAGATAGTAAGTACGGACAAAATCACATTCAGTCAGTCACTAATAATAGAGGAATATTTTGTCAATAATGTCTTTCATGACTTCGCCAAGTTCGCATTATTTGTTTCGAAATTTAAGCATATTACATTGCCTTTTTCTTATGAACATATGTTATCGTTATGTTTAATCAGTTGTTAAAAAGTGGTAGGATGACAGACCGCGGATATATAATATAGTGTTATCTTTAATTTCGATCAGCAAAGTGATTCCTAGCTACAGTAATGTCGTTTAAAATTATTTAGACATTTTCAAAGCTAGGTGTTTTACATAAAATAATTTTATTTCTTTAAGATACTTTTATTCGTCTAAAATAATATAGTTGAGTGATAAATTTAAAAAAAAAGGATTGAGACGCTAAGGGCATCTCCAACCCAACTCCATTTTTTACTCTAAAATGGAGTAAAAGGGAATATGAAGTAGAAAACACTTCAACCCTACTCCATATTCTACTCCATACTAGAGTTTACTCCATAAATGGAGTAATCTGTTTTTTCGTTTGTTCATCACTCCATTATGGAGTGGAGTTAGAGAATTTTTACTTCATATTCTCTTTTACTCCATTTTGGAGGAAAAAATGAAGTTTTACATTGGAGATGCTCTAACACGTTTCATATTCAAGTCACATGCCTTACAAAACTAAATTATATTGTTTATAGACACTTATACGGATATACGCCTATGTTTTCGGTTCATTTACATATACGAAGAGAAGATACAGTATATCCATAGATTATTTTATTTTTTTGAAATTAGCCTGGATCTTTCTATAAATCTGGAATGCCCTCAGATTAATCAAAAAAACCCTTTATTTCATATTTTAAATAAATGTTACTATTTTCCTATATCTTTTTTTTTTGACAAATACTATTTTTCCTATATCTGAAAGAAGAAATAACATTTCTCTCTATATTAAAGAGTACATTGAAGAAGGTTTTAAAGTTATGATGTGGAGAACTATTTAAAATGTTAGAAAGCAAAGAAAAAAAGGTTTACCGTTCTAAAACTCTTTCTACAATTTTACCGTAGTAATATTACAAACAATTATTATTAAGAAAAAAAGTTAAAATCAAATATAGTACTAAATAAATAGCTGCATGACTTTCATAATCATATACTAGCACTGATATTTGTATGGTCTCTATAAAATGGTCTCTCAATACGGAGAGTGAACACATTATAACCTTACTCGCACGCCAAAGATCAGTGAGAAGGATTGGATTCTTTGAGTAAAGATTAGGACGTAATTAATCAAACTCCACACTTTAAGAGATTTTAATGGCAAACAACAAAATGTTTGCTAATATCAAGAATCAACACAATGAGTATGTTTCAAGTTATAGAGGACCCCCCAAGTGCATGTGTTCATTAATTAAAAGAAAATAGAACTTTTAATATTGATCTCGAGATTTTCAAATGTCCATCTTCTCTTTCCTTTTATTTCACTATGGATTAAAATATAGTTTTCTTTATTCTAAAGCAACCAATACTAGAAAACAGAAAAAAATGAATTTATTTATTTATTACTTTTGCTTATTACAAGACTCGCAATCAATTGGCTATATGGTCCCCTTACATGTATATTCTCGTATAAAGCTACAAGAACTGGTAACCTCTCTGCTTAGCTGTTCTTGTCTAGCTGGGTTTCTGGGGGTTTGGCTTCTTTCTTTTCTTTTCATTATTTTGTTGGGGGAAAAGGTTTGAATTTGGTGTTGCAGATAAGATTATTTAAGATTCTTGAGTTTCTTTAAGTGGATTTTCAGCCAAGGGGATCTCTATTGATTTCTGGAAGATTATTGTGAGATACTGAGTGTGGAGAGAGGAGGTAGCTTTTAAGTGTTTGTTAAAATGTCTAAGTGAAATTGATCTGTTTTTGAGTTATTATCGATCTGGGTATTAAGAGATGGATCCAAAGGCTCTTTCTTTCTGAGAAATTAGCGGTTTTTTTATTTTTTGGTTTGGTTGTTGTACGTTAGGGTTTTTAGAGGCTTGAGTATTGTAGTTTCTTTTGTTGAGTTCTGTTGGGAGAGAGAAAGTATGGCTTGCATGAAGCTGGGATCCAAATCTGATGCTTTCCAGAGACAAGGCCAAGCTTGGTATATTCACTTGCTCTTTCTAACCTTTTTTTTATAGTGTATCTCTGTTTCTAGTTTTTGCTTCTTCTTGATTTTCTCCTCCTAATTTGACTGGATTTGCAGCATTACTGAGTCAAAGCTTATTACTTTGTCTTCTTTGCTCAATTATTGCAGGTTTTGCACAACTGGACTTCCAAGTGATATCGTCGTTGAAGTTGGAGAGATGTCTTTCCATCTCCACAAGGTAAACCTGATTTACTTGCTTACACAAGACAACACTCTCTTCTTGTCTGGGATGATAACTCTGTTCCCCTTCTCTGTCATTGTATAAATCTTTACTGCTATGTATCAAACATGTGTTTGATTTATATAAAATTCTTCCGACATTGTGTCATATTAGTCTTGTGTGGAACGCTGTAGTTGAAACTTTTGCTGTGTAGTTTCTGCAGTTCCTGTGTATGTAACGATGAGAGTCCTGACACTTACTGTAGAAACCAGTCTCTACTAAGATGAAGTTTTGCTAATAGCTATTTGATTTTATGCTATGTGCAGTTTCCTTTGCTCTCTAGAAGTGGAGTCATGGAAAGAAGCATTGCAGAGGCATCAAAAGAAGGTGATGACAATGACAAATGTCTCATTAAGATATCTGATCTTCCAGGCGGAGACAAAACCTTTGAGCTTATCGCCAAGTTCTGCTACGGCGTGAAGCTCGAACTCACCGCTTTCAACATTGTATACCTCAGATGCGCAGCTGAGCATCTCGAAATGACAGAGGAGTACGGTGAAGGAAACCTAATCTCTCAAACCGAAACTTTCTTCAACCAAGTCGTCCTCAAAAGCTGGAAAGACTCACTAAAAGCGCTTCAAACCTGCAACGAGGTCCCTGAGTACGCAGAGGAGTTAAACATCACCAACAAATGCATAGAGTCACTAGCCGTGAAAGCATCATCAACAGACCCAAACTTGTTCGGATGGCCAGTTGTGGAGCCCATGCAGAGTCCAGGTGGCAGCGTTTTATGGAATGGTATAAGCACAGGGGCTAGACTTAAACACACTAGTTCAGATTGGTGGTACGAGGATGCTGCCATGCTTACCTTTCCCTTTTTTAAGAGACTCATCACAGTCATGGACTCCAGAGCCATAAGAGAAGACATCATTGCAGGTTCCTTAACTTACTACACAAGAAAACACTTGCCTGGCTTAAAACGCAGACGCGGTGGAGGACCTGAAGCTAGTAGTGGTCGTTTCGCCACACCTATGAGCTCAGGGAGTGTACTCTCCGAAGAAGAGCAGAAACACTTGCTTGAAGAGATCCTACAGCTTCTCCCCCTGCAAAAAGGTTTAGTCCCCACCAAGTTTTTCGTGGACATGCTTAGAGTCGCCAAGATTCTGAAAGCTAGTCAGAGCTGCATAGCTAATTTGGAGAAGAGGATAGGGATGCAGCTTGACCAGGCGGCTTTGGAAGATCTTGTAATGCCTAGCTTTTCTCATACTATGGAGACTCTATACGATGTGGACTCTGTGCAGAGGATCTTGGACCATTTTCTTAGTACTGATCAGATCATGCCCGTTGGTGTTGGCTCTCCTTGCTCTTCGGTGGATGATGGGAACTTGATGGGATCACCACGGTCAATAACGCCAATGACGGCTGTTGCGAAGCTGATTGATGGGTATCTTGCTGAAGTAGCTCCTGATGTTAATCTCAAGCTTCCAAAGTTTCAAGCTTTAGCTGCTTCTGTTCCTGAGTATGCTAGACTCTTAGATGATGGACTCTATCGCGCAATAGATATTTACTTAAAGGTATGACTTTAAAAACCCATCAATCTTCTACTATATAATAAAAACTCTATAAATAAATAAGGTAGGGATTATGACATTTTATTAATTTATAGACTTTATTAATTAAAGAAAAAAATAAAAAAGGTTTTTTATATATTTGATGTACGTTTTAATATAAAAATAAAAAAATACTTGATTTTACGGTATATGTATTATTAATAAAATTTTATAGATACACATTTTGATGTTGTCCTTATTCGCTTTTTTGGTATATATAAAATATTTCCGTCAAAATAGATGTACTTTTAATATTTTGAAATGTTTAGAAAAATTAAAGCTAGACTTTACTATGAATAAAAAACTATAAAATATATTATTAACATTTATATAAACTTTGTATATATTAATTATTGATTTATGTCTACATTGAGGACCCTATGTTTATATAAGATATAAGATTTTTCAAAGAAAATATTATCTTATTGAATTGTGTCATATTAATTATGAGAGTGTAATTTATCAATTATCGAATATTAATATATAGATTTTCTATTGTATTTAGTGTTAAGTTGTTTCTTTTCATCTTTTGATGATTTGCAGCATCATCCATGGTTAGCAGAAGCAGAAAGAGAGAATCTTTGCAGGTTGTTAGATTGCCAGAAGCTCTCTTTAGAAGCATGCACACACGCAGCGCAGAACGAGAGATTACCTCTAAGAATAATAGTCCAAGTCCTCTTCTTTGAGCAGCTTCAGCTCAGAACCTCTGTAGCTGGATGCTTCCTGGTTTCAGACAACCTCGACGGCGGGTCAAGACAGTTAAGAAGCGGTGGATTTGCAGGGGGATCAACAGAAGGAGGAGGAGGATGGGCAACAGCAGTAAGAGAGAACCAAGTCTTGAAAGTTGGAATGGACAGTATGAGAATGAGGGTTTGCGAGTTGGAGAAAGAGTGTTCTAATATGAGACAAGAGATTGAGAAACTCGGTAAGACGACGAGTAAGGTTGGTGGTGGTAGCAAAACGTGGGAGAATGTTTCTAAGAAACTTGGGTTTGGTATTAAGTTGAAGTCGCATCAAATGTGTAGTGCTCAAGAAGGGTCTGTGTCGAAGTCTAATAATGAGAATGTGAAGATAGAGAGGGTTAAGGATGTTAAAGAACGTCGTGGGAAGCATAAGAAAGCTTCGAGTATTAGTTCTGAAAGGTGAAACTATGGTAAAAAAAAATTCACACGGTTTAGCTTTTTAAGAAAGAAGAAGAGCTTTTATTGTTAAAAATGTGGTTTTTTTCGATTGTCTATGTATGTTTTCTTTGACGACCAAACTATTTTCTTGTCATTATTGGATCTTATTAAGGAAATTAACAAAAAAAAAAAAAAACAAGAACAATCTATAATGGTTTTGACGATAATAGAGAGTTACAAAACAAGAAAAAATCCAAGTAATTGTCTGAAACCGTGTTTTTCCTCATTCAATAACGTTTTTGTTTTCTTGCTGAGAAAGATAACTCATAAGAATTTTTCTGAATACTCTTTGTTGGGGATATAAGTTAACAAACCTTTAATTAATGTAAACGTCATTACTCATTAAAGTTGGTTTGTTAAAGTGAAAGATTGCTTAAACTAGAGTTAAATAAATTGTTAATTAAAAAAAAATCATGAAAGATTTGAACTTATGATGCAGAATTATGTTATAGGAATCGAAGTATACATTTTAGCCGCCAGCTTTACCAATTAAAAAACCCAAATTGTAATTTAATTTTAACTTTTTCTTTTTAATAATCACATCCGTTTATAATAATATTTTTCTCACTTTAATAATTTTTTTTTTCTTTCTTCCGTTAATTCGTATCGATCTCACCCTCTCGTCAGATTCAAACTCTCCGATCTCAAACTCCGACGAGATATTATCGTTGAAAGGAGGAGCAAACGGATCCGTCCCAGATTCGCGCGGGAGAGAAATGGAAAGAGGCGACATTGAAGAAGCCGGCGAAGAGGAATTCCCGCGACTCGGCGGAGGAAAATACAGGCCGGTGGTGGCGCACGATAGAGCCGTTGTCGAAATGTCATCTATCGATCCCGGATCTTCCTCCTCCTCTTCCACCCTCAAGTATAGCTCAATCCCTTGCTTAATTTTGGATGTGTAGTGATCATCTCTTTGGTGATGATGATGATGATGAAGATTTCATGTACTGATTAGTAGAATTGGGATGCAATTTTGGTTAATAGTGTTTAAGAATCGTGTGATTGGAATATTCTACAAGTCTACATTGAAATGGTTCAGTGTTGTTTAATTTTCTTTCATGGTGAGGGTCTCACACGTGTAGGTTTTTGACAGGAAGATAAAAGTAGTTACACCGGGAGAGATGGCTGGTGCAAGGGAGGGTCCAAGGCCAGAGGATGGAGTGAATGGACATCAGAAGGAATCTAAACTTGAATTGTTTGGTTTTGATTCTCTGGTGAACATTCTTGGTTTGAAGAGGTACATGTTGTTTTCTTGTAGAAATATGAATCAGCCTTTATTTACTGCACTAAGTGTTAGCTAGAATTTACTGGAAATGGTCTCTTGCTTTGATTGATCAAACGTGGTCTTTTTGGTCTGAGCTGAAACAATGGAGTCATTGAAGAGAAATTTTTTTTGCTTGTTTGGATCATGTTTATTGACTCCCTTGACAATGTATAAAATTCGTGATTCTAGTATAGAACTGATGTGCTTTCTATCGCCTTTTGTTGTTCTTAGGAGTTCTAATTTTGTTTATTTTCTTACATAACGAAATGAGGACCTCTCTTTCATCTTCCCAATGTGTAAAATGCATCTTTTACCGTAAACTATGGTTTCAGTCAGCAGTTGTCATTTGTTTTGGGAAACACATATTCTCTTAATGTTACATGTGGTAATGTGATGAATATCTCCTTCAGCATGACAGGAGAACAAATTCCAGCACCATCTAGCCCTAGAGATGGGGAGGATATCTCCATCACGCAAGGGCACCCACAGGTATCTTCCCATTCCCATTAGCTTTTAACTCACACAATTTATGATTTCTGTCTGGCTGTTTTGATTAAGCGCTCATTCTTACTGACTATCGCTGCATTTATGATTTTCCACGATGTTATAATATCTGCATGTTCTTGCAGCCTCTCAAGATGGGTACAATGATGGGAGTTTTCGTTCCCTGCTTGCAAAACATCTTAGGAATTATATACTATATCCGTTTCACATGGTAAGATTGCAAAGTCCTTGATGTTGCACAGCAATCTGCGAACTCATCATGTCGTGTTTTTATCTGTTTAATTTTCAGGATTGTTGGCATGGCTGGTATCGGACAAAGCCTAGTATTGGTATTGCTGTGTGGATTATGTACATTTTTGACGACAATATCTTTGAGTGCTATTGCGACAAATGGCGCAATGAAGGTATATTACTTCTCGCTTTCTATGTCATTGAACAATATTTAGGACATCAAGTTTATTCCGTAAATAACTGCATTACTTCCAGGGTGGAGGACCTTATTACCTCATTGGTCGTGCTCTTGGTCCGGAGGTTGGGATTAGCATAGGTTTATGTTTCTTCCTTGGCAATGCAGTTGCTGGAGCTCTGTAAGTGTCGATTCTGGATTCTTTGAAGGAAATTCTCTTGGAGAAAGAAATTCAGTTTCACTTGGTCTCCGGGTACTTCTAATAACTATTTTATCTGCATTTCTCCTTATCACTGTAGGTACGTTTTGGGTGCTGTGGAGACTTTTCTAAAAGCATTCCCTGCTGCTGGGATTTTTAGAGGTATTATTGTGAAACTTGTAAGAATTAAACTTGTGAACTAAAGCAAAGGGCTACTAGGATATCCAAAAACTCTTAGTAATTTATCAGTTTTTCGATCACCACTTTATCATGCTAGTCTTGACGCCAAAGACTTGTTTCATCAATTGTTGGAAGTGGCAACGCGGATATGCAATCCAGGATTTACAAGAATGATATTATTGACTGCCAAAATCTGAGTTTTATTTGACAAAACGTTTACTTGTTTTTCTGAGGACATAATCTTTAGCCTATCAGTCGCATTTAGTCATTTAGCTTTGTTTCATTTCTAATGGCAGAAACTATCACAAAGGTTAATGGAACTGCAGTTGCCGAATCAGTACAAAGCCCAAGCTCACATGACTTGCAGATTTATGGAATTGTTGTGACTATCCTTCTATGCTTCATTGTGTTTGGCGGCGTGAAGATGATCAACCGGGTTGCACCTGCTTTCCTACTACCCGTGTTGCTGTCTATCTTCTGCATATTCATTGGGATGTTTTTGGCAAAAACAGATGATCCTGACAGTAAGCCATTTCAGGATATTGTTGGATATAGGCACAGAGATCATATTTCCCCAAACTGTTAACCTTTCCCTTGTTATGATCTGAACAGCTGGAATCACGGGCTTGCGATTAAAAAGTTTTAGAGATAACTGGAGTTCTGCTTATCAGATGACAAATAATGCGGGGATTCCTGATCCACTTGGAGGCACATACTGGAGTTTCAAGTGAGTCAATTGTGTTTCCTATGATAGTAAAACTCTGGTTTTTGTTTTAAGTTTATTTGTTCAGTTTTTACTCTGAAATTTATTTACCGTTCTCTTTTTTACTTTTCAGTGAGTTGGTGGGTCTATTTTTCCCTGCTGTAACAGGAATTATGGCTGGTTCAAATCGATCAGCTTCACTGAAAGACACACAAAGATCAATTCCGGTTGGAACATTGGCTGCCACTCTGACAACCACCTTATTGTATGTGATCTCAGTGCTGTTTTTTGGAGCTGTTGCGACCCGTGACAAACTTTTAACTGATAGGTAACCGTGTTATTCCTGTGGCTTCTTCTCTCTCTTTTTTTTTTCAAAGCCGATGTAATTTGTTTTGCCAGGCAGAAGTCTCCTGGAGAAAATGCAAAAACACAAACCACTTGCAGTTCTTGTTTTTAATGAATAAACTTGAAAGATACTAAAATGACTTTATTCTTTGAATGTACCACACAAACTTACTAGGGGCCTACGAAAGCTGTACTTTTCTTAGTTTAAATGTCAGAATAAATTAAGCATGTCGGATAGTGGTCGCAGAAACCTGTTCCTTTAGCGCTTCAACACCTTGGATTTTTGTTTTCATACGATTGAGTAATTTTCCTCTATTGCAGGCTTCTTACTGCCACAATTGCTTGGCCTCTCCCCTTGATTGTTCACGTTGGCATCATCCTCTCAACCTTAGGGGCTGCTCTCCAGAGTCTGACAGGGGCCCCAAGGTTGCTTGCGGCGATAGCAAATGATGATATTCTCCCCATCCTGAATTACTTTAAAGTTGCGGATACTAGTGAACCTCACATAGCGACGCTTTTCACAGCATTGATCTGCATCGGATGTGTTGTTATCGGAAATCTGGATCTTATTACACCGACTGTAACTATGTTTTATCTTTTATGCTACGCGGGAGTAAACTTGTCTTGTTTCCTGCTCGATCTACTTGATGCTCCAAGTTGGCGTCCACGGTGGAAATACCATCACTGGAGCCTTTCCTTCGTCGGAGCCTCACTTTGCATAGGTATGAATTTTCAATTACGTGCTAGAGAAGACTGTCTGTTGTATAGTCTGAGATGTCTTATTATGATGGACTCTTGTTGATTTTTCCTTTTTTTTTTCTTTATGGTTGCAGTGATCATGTTCTTGATTTCGTGGTCATTCACCATCGTTGCCATTGCGCTAGCAAGTCTTATATACAAATATGTTGGGCTAAAAGGAAAGGCCGGAGACTGGGGAGATGGTTTCAAGAGTGCATATTTTCAGTTGGCCCTTCGTAGTCTAAGGTCACTGGGAGGTAAGCCACATGATGCCTCATTGATAGTTATATAATAGATATTCTCTATTTGCTGTTAGTCTGTTACACCGGAACCTGCCTTGTCTATTTGGTTCAAATATAAACTTTTCTCATGTATTTTCTTTTCTTCTGATTGCAGCGGATCAAGTGCACCCCAAGAACTGGTATCCAATCCCCCTTGTTTTCTGCAGACCATGGGGACATCTCCCAGAGAATGTTCCGTGCCACCCTAAGCTAGCTGATTTTGCCAACTGTATGAAGAAAAAAGGTCGTGGAATGTCGATCTTCGTCTCAATACTAGACGGTGACTACTACGAATGCGCAGAAGAAGCTAAAGAAGCCTGCAAACAGCTAGCCACCTACATTGAGTACAAGCGTTGCGAAGGTGTAGCTGAAATCGTTGTAGCTCCAAACATGACCGAAGGCTTCCGTGGGATCATCCAGACGATGGGACTCGGAAATCTCAAACCCAACATCGTGGTAATGCGTTACCCTGAGATCTGGCGACGGGAGAATCTAACA